AAATGGAATTACTGAAATCAATCTACTTTTTCATGATATTCTAATTTTATGACCAGCACCTGTGTGTGTATATATATATATATATATATATATATATATATATAGTTATGTATTATGCATTCTTCTTGTATTCTGTTGACATTACATTTACAGTAACTGACAGATAATAACATGGAATTTTAATTAAAGAGGTTAATTTGTAGGTTTTCTGTTTTTGGGTAATCTTGAGAAGAATTATTAAAGTATTTAAAGAAACACGTGTATTGGATTAGTATCCGTCTTAGAGCTAATATTCAATCCAAGTGAATCCAATACGGCTGCCACCCGGAGTCTGGGGCCTGGTCCATGGTCTTGACAGGGGGCTGCTGCGGGGCCTGGGTGGCCTGCCGGCGCTGTAACTTTTGCTCTCCCCAAAGGAGGATGGAGGGAGGGGTGTGTAGCAATATAGGGGAGGAAGTGGCTGGGTGAATTATTTAGAGGGGATAGGGGGGCTCTGGTTGAGTATCTGTGAAGGCCATGTGGGCCCCGATGCTGGGGGGGCTTTTGCTGGGCGTGGTCCAGGTGGGGGGGGCAGGGTGTGTTCCTGGCGGCTTCTCCGGGGGATGGGGTGCCCCTGGGGTCTCGGATCCCTGGGGCCCATGGCTGGATTCACTTCCAGGTGGCTGGCTGTCGGCAGAGGCCACGGTCTCGTCCCCATGGCTCCTGGAGGCTTCGGCATTACGGTGGCTGAGGGACTTCCTCTGGGCTGTCTCTCCTCCTCCTAGGTGGGGGTCGGATTTCTTGGGTTGGCCCCTCCGGGAGTCTGGGGCTTTGGGTCTCCCGTCGCTGGACTCAGTGCTCTCGGCTCTTCACAACCACTATTGATTATTTTTTCTTTGGATAAACTTAACACACACAAGTGCCTCTCACAAACAACTACAGGTGCTTGGTTCCAGGTACTTAGAGATTCACTTCCATATAGAAAGCCCATATTCTTATCTTCAGGTAACAGAGTACATGTCAGACTAAATAACACTACATATTCTTCAGCGATAGTATCTAGGTGTTACTTTATTGTATATCTTGTACCATGTCTGTTGGTTGCGCTGTTCTTTTTACATCTCTTTGCAGGTGATGAAGCAGACTGAAAATGTTTTATCATTATCTCCTTTTTATCTCCTCTTTCTTTCATCTTTTTTCCCTTTTTTCAGTTTTGCCTTTCCTGTTCTGCTTACATTGCAGTCTCCATATACATGTAATCTGTAAAACTCCTTACATAATTATAATAAAGCAATTTATATGCATAAAACAAGCTGAAGACCATGGCCATAGCCCTACTGCTCCAGTTGTAAAAGTAAAATGTGTTGAGCTCTTTTTGGCATCAAAACAATTATTCTTACTGCCACATTGCCAGACAGGACACTATAAAAAAGGGGCCTTTACTCTGTAACTTTACCAATTTCATGAGCTTAATCTCCATTAAGAAAATATCAATATTAACACTCTTCACAACACATTG